TAAATTGTATACTAAATTGTATAATAAAGAATATTTTATTGTTTGTTTTTCTGTTAATTTAAAGAAAACTAAACTATTAAGAACGACTGAAATATCATGTAATTATGAAATATCAGTATGAGTAACTTTAAATCAAATCATTCTCAAATTTAATAATTATTTTATATCATAAATAATATATTATTTATGTAAATTTATATAAATTTATTTTAAACTTAATGTAGTACTCTTAAAATTATATAAGATTTTTTGAATTTTTATTTTTTTCAGAGAAATTTTAAAAATTTTCTATTATCAAAGATATATAAAATATAATTTTTGTTTGTAAATATAATTTAAAATAATGTTTCATTATTTAATACCGATTCATTTTATATTAAATTGTTAATAATATCTGTCACAATAATTTAATAAATTAATATAATTTTAATTATTTTTTTATTTTTTTTATAATCAATAAATAATTGTTTAATCGATTAATTTGAATCTTTACACTAATAAAGAGAAAAATAAAAGATGTGATATAAGTAGATAAATATAAGTAGGATAATGGTATCAAAGAAGACTCACCTTAATCCAGTTGATCTTGTACAAATAGGAAACAAGGAGAATACCAAAAAACAGAAGAAAAGCACCACCAAAGCTCCACCATCCGGCCATCGTTGTCTTCTTCACCCTCTGCCCCCGAACGAAGAAAAGCAAGTGCACTCTAAAAACTTGTCCCTCTGGAACACCTTCGGAACCACCTCTCTTATTCTCCTTGTTCTCACTCCTCCTCTTTCTCTATTTTCTTCTTTCCTTCTCCTTTCAATCGATCTTTTCTGTTTTTTCTTTCTTCCTTCCTTCTTTCTCTCCTCTTGCTCTCTTTCTCACTTTCTTTTTTCCTTTTTCTTTTCCTTCTTTCTTTCTTCTCCACTCTCTTCCTTCTTTTATCACTCTCCCGTTATCTCTTTTCTTCCTTTCTTTCTTTCTTTCTCCCTCTTGTACTACTACTTTTCTTCCTTCTTTCTTTTCTTCCTCTTCTACTATTTCTGCCCTTTTTCACATTGCTCTTGTTTGTCTCTTCCTCTCTCCCCTTTAATATTTTTCTACACTTGTTCCGATGCACTTTTTCAAACTTTATTTAATCTTTCATTCTTATATTCTGTAATTTTTCGATATTTTCGAAAATTCAAAAATGTTTTAAAAAGAAATACAAATCAATGTGAATAAAATATCTCTTCTATTTTTTATTTGAGTTCATTTAATTTCTTTTTTTTCTTAATTTTTTTTTCTTTTCTATGCATCTCTCTTAGACTTAATTTTTTGTGATAAAAATATTATTATATTTATATTTCTTATTATTTATATTTTTTTATTAATTAAAAACATCTAATTTAATGTCTAATCATTAATGCTAACTATTATTATTAGTTATGTTATGCTTCTCTTTATACTGCTAATTATATTGAGTTTCTCTTTTAATTGAAATCTATTGGCACTAATGATGAAAATGATGAAAGATTTATATAACAGATATTCGCATAGAAT